GAAAAAGCCAGAGCACGACCAGAGATGCCTGACTGCACGGCACAGCTGGCAGGCAGTGACTGACGCCATGACGCTGGCTTCGAGTTCGTTCTGGAAACAAGGGTCCTAAGACCCAGGCGTCACCGCCGTCACCGCCGCCACCCCTCCCTGCCACGGGCAGCCACGCTTCCTCGGACAAGCGGCTCATGTGCCGGCTTTTTGCACTGGGGATTTCTTGCCAGCTGGAATTCTTTCTGCATCTAAGCTACCTTCTCTTGGCAAGACTGTCCCCCTTCACAGAAGGGATTCATTTTCGTTTCAGCTTTGACGGGTGCGTTGCAAGTCTTGCTTTTTATTTCAACAGAAATGGGTTTATTGCATTTATCTCCTAAGAAAGCAAGCCTCACATGAAGTACACAAATACTATAGACGTATATATGTGGAAAACTGCCCTGAGAGCAGGTCATCTCGGCAACCTCAGCACTTGGGGGGCTGGGGGTGGGGGAAGACCCTTCTGCAGAATGTGAAGGGGCCAGAGGAGGGTGGAGGGGCCCTCGGGGTGCCTGGCTGTGTGATGACCGGGCGCCAGCGGGGGCGTCCAGGCCTCAGGATGGCAGAGAGCTCATGGCAACGGGACCAGGATGCGGCTGTCCGGCGGCCAAGCCAGCGCTCAGTGACCAGGCCTCCTCATCCGGGTCCGGCCCACAGGGCCCCTCAGCTCCAGGCTCACAGTGCCCGGTACCCGGACGGAAGAGCCTACGAGGTGAGGGTGAGAGTTGTGAGTCCACTGAAGACCCCCCTCCAGGGCCGCCCACAGGCAGCCTGGGCTGAGGAGGTGGGGAAGCTGAGGGCGGCACTGGGGGAGGGGGCAGCCACCGACCCATGAGCTCTGCGTGGACTCCGCCGCCGGCCCCCTCCGCAGACATGCTCTCCTCCAGCGGCAGCACTGCCTCCCCACTGAGGGACCAAGGGCAGGAAGGGCGGCAGCAGCGAGGCTCGGGGCTGCATGCACCCACGCCGCAGGGGGATGGGCTGGGTGCCCCGGGACTGGGACAGGAGAGGAGGCAGCAACAGGACAAGGGGCCGGGGCCAGGTCAGGGGCCTGGAGTCATCCCTGGAGACACATGCCGCGCTGACGCAGACACACTCATCCCTGGCCCCCGACAGAAAACTGAGCTCTGGACACCCCCCTGCTGACGCGCCGCCCACCTGAGCCCAGGTGAGCCCCCAGGGCCACACAGGTGAGACGCACAAACTCAAGCAAAAACACTGGCGTCCTCACCACGTGTCAGGTGACTCCTCTAGAGGGAGAACAGGTGGGAGCAGCAGCGCAAGCAGGAGGGGGCTTAGCGCTGGCTCCCGTCCGGCCAGGGCCCTGGCCTCACTTAGCACACGTCTGGGAGATTAAAGTCGAAGTCCTCCTTCAGGCTCCCAGACTCCCACGAAAGGGCTCCAGCTGTACACTCCACTGCGACACTCGGAGAAGACGTGGCCTCCCCGGCCCGAGTGTCCCTGCGTCTCGGGAGGGAATGCTCAGCCCGGGCGAGGCTGCCCCTGGTGACCCCCAGCCGTCTCTTCACGGCGCTTCCCAAGCAGACGAAGGCTCAGCAACAAGGAACGGGCACGTGCTCACCCTCGTGTACTTCTGGCGTGGGGACTGACTTTACAAGAAGGCCCAGTGGAAAACTCGGAATTTAACAGGACCCTGGCCTCTGCTCCCAGCTGTCCCCACGTGCTTCCCTGCCCCACCTGGTCCCCACCGACCAGGCTCTCCGTCCACCTCCGGACGCAGCCCTGCCGGGGGTCACATCCCCGGCCGTCTTCCCGGCCCAGATCCTCCCAGGACCTCGGCCCGGCCACCTCCCAAAGCCACACTGTCCCCCGACCTCAGCTCCCGAGTCGGTGCTGGGGTGCCCCGGGGGCCAGCCTGGACCTCCTCGGCCGACACACTCGCCCCGCCAGTCACCGAGCCTCATGGCGTCCAGCGCTTCTCCGCACGAGGGACCCGACATCTGGAGCTGCGGTTGGTGTCTGTTTCTTTTTTGCCCTCCGTCCAGGGCCGCAAATGGTGCCTGGGACCCAGGAGGCTCCACATACCCACGTATTAAAAGAACCCACCGCCACGCAAACCATGCCGAGGAAAAGGCCTTTTTAAAAATGAAAAGCTGGAATTTTATTACAGTCACTAGCATAGCCTCGTGATTAACAAAAAGTTAATTCCATGAAACTACATGGTACCAACCTGAGTACTTTCCAAATTACCAGCAGCAGCCGGGTCTAAGCACGGAGCTTCAGAACCTCAACTAGGAAGCACCACTTGTGAAACACACGTCATTCCTCTTATTACAATTTTTCGTCAGGAATTTCAAAACTAGTAAGTCAACGGTATAGATGTGGAATTTATTTACGTGTTTGAAGGTAAAGTCTGACCACGCTTCACTGCTTCCTGAGGGGAGAATCCTGACGGCAACTTGAGCCAAACTGCGAGCCCGGTGACCACGCTGCGCGGGGAAGCGTCACCTCTTCCTGCAGCCCCGAGGGTCCCAACACCCCAGGTTCATCCTGGCCAAGCCCCCAGCACCTCCCCGAGGAAACCTCTGGTTCAAGTCCTGGATGTGGACTTAAAAGCACACTTTCCTCAGCAAAATTCAAAAAAATATCAGGCGGTCCCTGCAGCGGGGTGGCACCAGAGCCGCTGCCCTTGCGTTTTCCTATGTCCCTGAAGGAAGCCTCAGGTTCCCGCCTTTCATTTGCAGCCACGTGAAAGCCCCGACTCCCTCGGGCGCACGCTTCCATTCACCGAGTCCTGACCAGCCAGGGGCTGCCGCCCACACAGGCGTCTCCTCTGAAGCCCAACGTGACAGTAACCGCAGCTTTCTCTCCACCCGCGCTCTGCCAATGCCCGAGCCTCACTGATCTGCACCCAGTGCGAGCACGGACCGTGCTTTCTTACGAAAAGGCAGCTGAAGGCTTGCTTTGTTCTGACACGTACAAACACCTCTAAGGACGACCAGCCCAGAAACGGGTAACTGGTAAGAACACAGGACACAGCAAGGTCCCAAGCCAAGTTGGTGGCTGATGGGGGGGAGGCTTTGACAAACAAAAGGGGCTTTTTTGGCAGGCAAGGCAGGCGCGCCTTTCATTCCTGTTGTATCACAGACCCCAGCCCTCGAGATCAGATGAGAACAACGTAACCAGAGAGTCCTCGGCACACCTGCCGTCTGAGGAGCCTCGTCACCTGCCCTTGCTGGGCCACACGCCTTGTCGGCACGAGGCTGCGGGCCCCAGCGGGTGACGCTGAACGGCTGCGGCCAGCGGGGGACGGTGAGGCCGCGGCGACCCGCCGGCTAGGGTGGACGAAAGAAACCGTCTGTCGTTTCCCTCTGCGCAGCCGCCGTTCTCACCTTTCTGCTTACAAAACCTGACAGAACAAAAAACGTACTTTAGGAAAAGAATGAGCACTTTTTCCTCAATACAGAGTCTCCCGCCTGGAAACACACACCTGCAAGACACGTAACCGCGTCGTTCCGTCCCGATCCTCGAGCAGGAAACACTCAGAATGTAGTTTGACTGTCACCGTGGGTCTGCCCAGGGCTGCGAGCATTCTTGTGAGGCGACGACGCGGCAGCTCTGGGGGAAGACGTGGCGTCGGCCGGGCCCCTCAGGGCTTCAATGTGCAGAGACTTGGGCACCATCCACTTGCTCTTCTGCCCAACCTCACGGGAAAGGAACCACCGAACATGACACCATTCACCCTCTCAGCCCCACCAATCACAGAGCCACACCCCGTCGGGGGTGTAGGCTGCCCCCAAAGCTGGAACCGGCCTTGCCCGCCCGAGAGGCCTGTCTGCCACCCAAGTCCTCTGGCCACACGCACGCCGACCCCGGCGGGAGGGACACTGCAGGGTGGCGGCGAGAGAAGGGACGCGCTGGCCCGTTACAGCCCAGACGCCAGAGCAGCCAGGACAGTTGAACGCGGTCCCATCTTCCGTCCTCCCCTCTCTAAGGGGTCTGTGCGGCGCCCGGGCCACGAGACTGCAGGACTGGCCCCACGCCTGGTGCACTTTCAGTCAACCGTGAAAGCGCTTTGGGTTTTAGTGAAATGCAAAATGTCGCCCACTTAAATCTAGACTCCAACTCAGAAACTGCTGGGAACCTTTACGTTCAGTTCTTAAAATCCAAAGAGAGAGAGAGGGAGAGACGGGCGAGGGGAGGGAGGGAGGGAAAGGAAGGATGGTGCGGGGGCCAGCGGGAGCTCCAACACAGCCACGCCGGAGGGCACCTTCCACGGTGAGGATGCCGTCTCGCCTGCGCCGTCCGGGACGGAAGCCACGGGCCATGTGGCTTCCGAGCACCTGAGCTGTGGCCAGTGCAACTGAGGACGTGGATTTTAATTCATTTACATTTAAATAGACACGTGTGGGCTCGGAGTGACCATGCTGAACACAGTGGGGCTCCACAGTAGAAAACCCAACTTAACAGGACTCACAGCTTAACTCCGCAACTAAAACGCGGACCTCAGCAATTGGCCTTCAGGAAATCTTACTTTTGTTTCTAAGTTTCAACAGAGGTGGATAAGCAAGTGCGATTTCCTCTCACGTGACTCAGTTTTGATCAACGACTTGACTTTTAGGTGATAAAGAGAGTATGTTGTGCTTTTGTGTTTTACCCACTGACACTGTGCTTGAAAGTCCCCTCAGGAGGAGTCGCACCACCAGCGACGGGGGCCGTCACAGGAGACTCTTCCCAAAGCCCTTTCACAGCCAATACTCTGCTCTTTGAATCTAGGGTAACTGCTTCCTCTTTTTGGTATTTCCTCTTTGCTTTTTTCCTTTTTCTCTAATGTGGTAGTTACATTCTAAAACAAAAAGAAGAAATGCTTCAGAAAAACTCTTCAATCCTAATATATGTCTTGATCAAACCAAACCACATCAAAGCCAACTGCTGGCTAATGGTAAGTGTGTGTGCGTACACACGTGTGTGGCGCGTACGCGTGTGGGCAGATGTATAATGGAGGGATGTGCCACAGGAACGGTTTTATTTCTTGAAGTCTGAACACACAGTGTACAAAACCTGCCTGACACAGAGCATGACTGTGACGAAATGAGATTCTCCAAGTGACACCTGCTCTTTCACAGCAGACTGTTTCTCCCCAGTGATCATCGTCCCAGAATAAAGCTGGAGGGCCCCCCTTTAAATGGGGGCGCCTCCTTCCACTCCCGTAAGTACACTGCAGGGCAGACTGCTGTCTGCTGGGCCGTTTCTTCCACTGTGCAACTTCAGGATCATTCACTCCCACCCCCGATGTTAAGCTACGTGGAGTCCAGGGGAGTCAGGCGGCCCGGGTGCACCTCCATCCTCGCGAGGCAGCTTCCACGGAGGCGGCCGTCACTTCAGCCAGATCCATCTGTCCCCCACGTCCTCGTTGTACCCAGGGCTGTACCTGCGGCCCGGCAGCTGCGGGAGGGAAAGCCGTGGTCACCAGCAGTTTACAACGTCCGTCCGTCCCCGCAGCTCACCTGACGGCTTCCTCCACTCCACCCTTGCCCTCCCCGCGCCGGCAGGGCCTGCTTCTGGCGGTCCCACTGTAAGGGTGAGGGGTCCCGCGGAAGGAAGCACAACACGACCCTGCCCTCGGGAGCCTCCATGCTGCTGGGGGGGCTACAAACGCCAGTGGCCAACCCACGCGTCCGTGCTGCTGCTGGGAGGGTGGCCGTGGAGCCTCGGGCAGAAGTGGCCCTGACCTAGGGGAGCCGCAGCTTTCGGGGGGGAGAGGGCGGGAGGGGAGATGTCGCAGCCCCTCTCTCTGCCCCACCTGCCCGTCTCCTGCCAGCACCTCCTGCCACGGGCCCCACCACAAATCGGGGGCAGGGGCCCAGGGGTGCAGGGCACACACAGGGTGGACCTGGAGGGGCACAGAGGCTCCCTCACATGGCCAGGAGGGCTCCCAGGGGAAGGGAGCCTGCGGCGAGGGCGAGGGGTCCACAGGCTGGGATGGCGCGTCACGGGGTTGGCCTCCACCGTGGAGCGTGGAAGCCTGGCTCTGAAGGCCAGGCTGGAAGGAGTCTTGCGTGGGCCGGGCAGGGAACAGGCAAAGCACAATGAGATTCATCCAGTTAACAGTGGGGACAAAATACGGAGTTTTCTTTTTCCTGCCTTCCAGTTAACGTGGTCCAGCAGTAGATATGTACACACTACATACTGCACACAAAAATCTTCCACACTTTGCCCTTGAGAACAAGTACTGAAGCAGCTTAAAAAAGAAATCCGCCTTTCCTTGATTCTCATCAGCAGAGGGCATTCATTACCAGCCACACCGAGGTGGAGGCAGAGGCTACAGTGCAAGGAGGGGGGTCACAGTCACACCCGAGGCCAGACACAGCCCTGCCTGGACACGCCCCGCGGCCACACTACCCATCCCGCACTGAGCCTGCGTCCCCTCTGGCAGGTGCACAGGCCTGCAGTGGGCGTGCGCGGCTGCAGCACGTGGAGAGAAGCGGGGACCTGTAAGTGGGGAGGACTGAAGTGCAGGCTGACCGCAGCTTCCGGCCCTGGGAGCCTCTGGGCACAAGGTTTCGTCCAGGTGCTAGGAGCACCCTGGGTATACAACAGAGGAGAAAGGAAACACCCAGCTCCCCCCCAGGAGTCATCCTCTTGGGCGGAGACTGGGAAGGGAGCCAGTGGCACACGACGGCCCAGGGTGCCCGCCAAGGGGGAGCCGGCGGGGGGCGCACACGGAGCAGCAGAGCCCGGGGACGGGGTGAGCGGGGACACCTGGCGTGGCCACGGGAGGAGCAGGGGACAGGAGTGGCGGGAGGACCCGGGAGTGAGGGCGGCGCCCCTGCTCTCCAACTCCGACAGGCACTGCGGCAGAAGGTGGTCGCTGGGCCAGAAGAGCTGCAAGTGCGGCCCTGCGTGAGGGTCTCAGCGACCTCCACGGGCCTTAAGGGCTCAGGAGAGCCTGGGCAGCACAGCGGAGCACGAGCGGGGGAGAGGCGGGTGGCGCCCCAGGAAGGCGGGCACCACCCCAGGAAGGCGGGCACCGCGGTTGGCTCCCAAGCGGAATGGAAGCAGCGCGTGGGCCGCCGCGGGGAGACCACCAACGGGAAGGTGGGGAGCTGGGTCGGTGGCCGAGAAAGCGGGGCTCTGCTGGAGACCCAGGTGCACAGCTGCCGCCCCGGCATCTCGAGGGAGGGGCCGCCATCCCAGCGAGGACGGCGCAGGGGAGAACCCGAGGAGAGGAGGGGCCCCGGAGCCTGCGAGCAGGGGGCGCTGTGTGCGGAGACAGGGTGTGAGCAGAGCCTCTGTGTCAAGGGGGTACTGAGATCGCAAAATCCCCCCTAGACTCCCACGCCCTCACCCCCAGACCCTGTGCCTGTGCAGACATGATTCAGCCGGGACCTCGAGGCGGGGAGACCGCCCTGGACTGACAGGTGGGCCCAGGGTCATCATGAGGGTCCTGGGAGAGGGTCAGGTCAGGAGATGCGGTGGCAGAAGCAGAGGTTGGCCTGACCGGGGACGGGAGCCAAGGCGCGACGGGCCCTAGAAGCTGGAAAGGAAAGAAGCAGAGGCTCCCCAGAGCCCCAGTGGGAGCACAGCCCCTCGCCTGGGTTTGTGCTCTGACCTCCAGAACCGGAAAATGACACGGGCACCTTCTCACCCGCTCCGCCGGTGGCCGTTCGTTACAGCTGCTACAGAAAACCCATGCAGCTTGTTCTGCATTTTATGACAGAGACACTGGGCGTGTCTGTACAACGAGAGAGAGGCCGCGCTGAGGCCGTGGAGAGCGGCCACCCCCTGGGAACAAGAACCAGGACGGGGGCAGAGGGGCCACAAAGCAGGAGCCGCGGGTGCATCTCCCCACGTGGTCTCTCCCTGTCTGTCCACAAAGACGTTCCCAGCCAACTGCTATGAATACACAACTGCTGCAGCAATAAAAGAACAATCTTAATTTTTATCACTCCGTAATTTTTATCACACCAGAAAGTGATTTCTTTTCATCGGAAAGGTTTTCAAGCTTCGCCGACACCAGCACACCGGCACCGGGCCAGCCCCCAGCACCTGCTGAGGAAGGGCCGGGAGGCCACAGCTTGGCTCTGCTGTCTTCTTTGCAAATCAAATTTTAAACCACAGAGCAGAGAATAAAAACTCGCAGGATGTGGAACCACTGAGTGCAGCCAGCGTCTATTAACTGCATCACAAAATCTGCTCTCTGGACCTCCTGGGGCACCTAACTGGCCTTTCATACCCAGACAAGGGTCCCCAGACCCTCAGGGTTCCCTTTCAGTGCAGTTAAGCCAACAGGAGGGCTCCCATTTGGGATGTTTCACAACGAGAAAGCAAAACAAAGCTGCTTCCTTTTCATCACTTCATACCTGCATCTGCTTCTTTAAGCCAGCCTTCAAACCTCCCAGCCCCAGTCCACCACATTCACCACTTGAGAAAACACGCTCTGTGGCCCTGTGAGGACGGAGTGGCCCAGGACCTCCTGGCGGGAGCATCTCTCAGAAGCTGACGCGGGCACCTCGTCCGACCGTCAGCACGAGAGCGTGACTCCTGGACGCGGGCCCGCAGTCAGTTTTGTCCTGGGTCAGGCCGGGGAGCCGCAGGCATGGTAGGTCTGAGCTCAGGGTGGTGCGGCTGAAACAAAGTGATGCTGCTGAGTTTGACTGTGAGGACACTTTAAACCCTGGGTGAGTTCTGATTTTAGAAAAAGGCGCCCATCTCTGCATGCTACAGGCCGGGACGGCATGGGTGCCGTGAGTGGCTCAAGAGGTCTGAGCTCACAGAGGCTGCTCCTCCCAGGCACTGCTGTCACACGCAGCTTAGAGATGCCGGCAGCTGCTTGGACAAAAGCCAGCTGAGAAGAGAAACATATATGCACTCATCCTCCTGGAGGAAACTGTGCATTCCTTCTACATTTGATACACTGTGTCCTGGCTGCTTTGAGACACGAATAAAAGTCCCATCTTCTCTAACCTTATAAAATACACAGAACATATAAACCAGTTGGGAAGTGGGATGGTAGCAGGTGGAAAGTGCTGGAGGAGTGGAGGGGATGCAGAAGTCCTCCCTGACCGACCCGGACAGCGGAGAAGAGGACACGGTCAGGAGGACAGGGGGGCAAGGGTGATAGGATGGGGTGGAGCGCGTCCTGCTGGAGCCGCCGGGCGTGGAAAGCTGCTCCCTGATGGCCACGACCTCAGTCACCTTGGCCTCTAGCGGCGCCACTAGGGACAGCCCAAGCGAGAGGACAACCCATGCCAGGTAATGCCTGTAGTTCCCGCCACGAGGGAGTAATAGGGCCTGGACTCAACCCCTGGCCACACGCATCTGGAAACTGGACCACCTGAGTGTGCTGGTGGCACTGCGTAGACATGGGCTGAGTGCTAGGGGGAAGGACCTGGGCAGAAAAGAGCCACGTCAATCCAGCTCGTTTGGTCTCTAGCTGAGCAGCAGGCAGGGTGCGTGGGGCGGTGCCCCCGCGGCGGGTGGAGAGCACCCCAGGCAAAGGACGTCCCAGGGTGTCTCCGGGTGAGCAGTCCAAGAGCTGCCCTGGGGCTGAGCCAGCCAGAGCAGAGGGACCGCTCACTGCACACGGGGGACCGGGCTAACCCTTCCCTGGAAGACAGGCTGCTCTAGACCCACCAAAACGGTTAAACATCAAGCCCCAAAGCTTAAACTGACTTGCAAGTATCTTAACTGCCTGCCATTCAACAGAATGAAACAAACCCCGGTGCTCATAAACATAAAAGCTCATGACTTACGGCAACCGATGTTCTAGACACGTGAGAGAGAAAAATGTAACGTGTAACGAGGGGAAAAAACCAAGCAGACTAAGGACATGACAAAGATGATGGATTAGGAAACAAGGACATTAAAACAGCTATAAAATATTCAATGTAATCAAGAAATTAAATGGAAAAGGAAAATAATCAAAGAACTGGAAAATATAAAAAGAACTTCTAGAATTTAAAAAAACCCAGGATTCCCGAAATACAAATTCCACTGGGTAGGTGTGGCACCCATGCAGATGTGCTGCTCAGATGCCCTGCTGCGAGGAGGCCCGAGTGGCCGAGGGCCCAGGTGCTGACCCTCTGGGCCCGCCACCCTGTTCACGCAGAGGCCACGCCTCCCACGTAAGGGTGCAGCCCACAACCAAGAGCAGCAGAAGTTCCATGGCAGCCCATCCGTGGGCCGTGGGCCTCTTTCAGCAGGAGCCTTTGGCTCTAGGACACCCCGTCGGCCTGGCCAAACCCTTCCTGGACTGTTCCTCCCCAATCTCCTCCCCTCCCCTTCCCTGTCACAGGGCCAGACTCCTTCCACCTCAGGCCTGGTCCGTTTATCCTTCACAGGGGCTTCCCTCCAAAACCTCATCGGTGTTTACTCCCATCCTGGCTGCTGTTTCTCGGAGGACCCAAACTAACGCAATGAATTAGTAGCGTTATTACATGTAA